ATAAAGGCTCGTCTGGCATTTGAAACAAAAAGCAGTGCTTCAAGGTGATAGCCACCAAGTCAAGTAACACAACATCTGAAAGAAAGACAACCCAAACTCTATGACAAAATGAAGCAGGTTTGTAAATAATTTAGTGTACTACTAAACATAAGTCCGGTTGCACCAACAAATAGTGCTTATTTAGTTTAAAAATAAAAATAAAAAAAGGTGATTTTTTTTCCTCCGTGGTATTGAAATTGGTATCGAGTATTGAGGTTTTTTTTCCCAGTATCGAAGTTGTGTTTAAAATTTTAGTGTTGTGACAACACGACTGGAGAATATACGTCCATCAGTTCATGGCCTCAAGCTCAAGCGCACAACGGTTCTGCAGCATGACAGTGACCCAAAGCACACAAGCAAGTCCACCTCTGAATGGCTCAAAAAGAACAACATTAAGGTTTAGGAATGGCCAAGACAAAGTCCGGTGAAGGGACAATGTATCCTCAAAAGGGTGTTGAATGTTTATATAGAATTATTACACAATTTAACTGATATTCAACCAGTGAAACATTCAGATCACATTACTGTAACAATGCAACATATGACACACCTCTTGCTGCACAATCAAGAAGAGCTTCAGGAATGATCTGGGAAATTATCTGTGCTAAAAGTTATTTCTAAAAGCTACATAGCTGGACCAGTTAGGGACTGAAATGTGAATAAAAACTACTAATCACAGCACATTATTAACACATGTTAAGACAAACAACACAAAACGAACAGCACTGTGAATGTAAGTGAGGGAAAAGAAAGGGAGCGAACACATTACCCTGCAATATTGGCTCAATATTAGGGTGTAATGCAGTGCTCTGAGAGTAAGCGGAGAATAGACCACACCTGAAAGCAGCCACGAATTTGGTGGTATGACAGTTAGAAAATTGGTAGGAATTTACGTTTGGGAATACAAGAAAATTAAGAGTGTAGGAGCCTAAATGCATATAAGTTGATGTTTAACAATTAAAATCCAATGACTTAAGTTCATGGTCAAACAAAGGTAATTTACATTGATGTAAGAGGAGTTAAAAGAAGTATTTATGGTTATGTAGTAAGACAACTTTATTTCATGCACTTGAGGTGTGTGGATGATTGAAAATGTTCAACAATTTAATTTATATAATTTTGTAATATATGGAATTAGAGGGCTGTGATCAATGGCT